ATACACCTTAAAAATCATTAGAAAAATATAATATAAAATAAGCTCTGTACAGTATATAAACTATTGTCATAATTGAGTGAATATATACAAATTTGTTACGTAGCAATGTCCTATAATAAACAAATGGCTTGCCAATTCATATTCAAGATAACTAAAAGTTCAGCACAGCACTTTAAAAAAATGACATTTTAAAAATGTTCTGTGGCAACCTTGAGAAGATCCCACTCCACTATATATATATATATATATATATATCTGTTGGACTAGCAATATCTCAGTGTTTTAGAAAAATGGGTGAGAGTGAAATTGAAAAGGTGGATATTTATATTTGCAAATACATCAAATGAATGATCAATATACTAAAAATGTATTATTCTGTACAAATATAATCTTGTCAATAAATGTACCAACAAAAAGCATAATTGAACTTCCAAATAATTAAAATACTAACTCAGGACACACATATAAATCAAACAATTTAATATGCTAGAATGAATCACAGCTTTAGGTTTCTGAATGCATTAAAAGTGTATATATGGTCACATTCCAGTAGGGGAGACAAGCATGTATTTCTTATTGTGTTCTCTGTCAATGAAGAGGAGCACTCAACCCAGTTTGGGGCCGCAGAATTGATCACCATTCACAGGTAAGAGGAGCTATAGGCAGACTTGGCCAGTGAGAAACAAGGACTGGTATTGGGGGAAAGGTCGTAGAGAGGTCATTCTAGGCAAAGAACAGCACCTGCAAAGGCAGGAGGGCAGGAGGGGAGGGGTAGACTGAAGCAGGTGCAAAGAGTTGAGGATGGACTCTGAGGAGGGTAAGGGGGAAGAGAGATCATCTAGTGTGAAGGATTAAGGATGGCGACAAATTCCTTGACATTCTTCTCATTAAGAGGTGGAGTCCATGTCCCCTCCGTGGGCCTGGGTAGGCTCTGTGACCCTGTGCTGATTTCATGCTGAAGTGATGCTCTTCCAGCTTCTAGGTCGAGGCCTTACCAGACTGGTAGCATCTACTTCAGACCTCTTTGGACACACACTCTTAGAGCCCCGAGATAGCTGTGCTGTGAGAAGCCCAAAATGGCCACATGAGAGACTGCGTGGAGAGAGCATGCAGGCAGCCCAGCTGCCCACAACCTTTCCCACCGAGGGGACAGCAAAGGTCCAGCCCAGATGCTATCCATCACAACAGCATGGGAGACTCCAAGGGAGAGCTGCCAAGTTGAGCCCAGTCACTTCAAATAATTTTGAGAGATAATAATACAGTTCTAGTGTAAGCTGTTCAGTTTTTGGTCTGATTGTTATGCAGCAATAGTTACATAACATCAGGGAAACCATAGGAGCAGGCATATGGCAGTCAGGGAGGAGAAACTATAAAAGGGGACATCATCCGCGTGACCTGCTGAGTGCCAACACAGGTATCATGGAAGACACAGTCTAGAATGTATCCGCAGAGAGTTGTCACATGGGATTATGGTGATGTTTGTAAAAATAAAAGTCAACAAGCTGATGAGAAAGACTGCAAGGTGAGCAATTCACTCCAGCTTGCTCGGAATGATCCTGGTTTTGGCTCTGATCCTGGTCTTAGTAAATCTGCATTGACAGAGAAGAGGCAAAATGTACAAAGCACTCCTCCAGGCAGCGTGTCTGTGAGAGTGGCTATGAGGTGGCAGCTTGAGAGATTGAATCAAGATGGGCTTGAACATGTGGACAGACTGCATGAAAGGAGCCATCAAAT